TTTGGATCTATCCTTTCTGGGGTTCATTGAGCTTCTTTAATGCTTATCTTTCTGATTTTAAGGATGTTAGGGAAATTTTCTTCCAGAAACTCTTCAACTATCTCCTCCGTGGACTTGTGTGATTCTTCCTGTCCCGGAATGCTTATAATTCTTAAGTTATTCCTCTTCATGTTATCCAACTTGAATCTTAGACCTTCTTCAGATTTTTTTGTTCTTTTTTCTGCTTGTTTTTCTATCTTAGTAGTATTGAGAGATTTGTCTTCCAGATCACTAGTTCTGGTTTCCATCTCCTCAATTCTACTCCTTTGCCTTTTCAGTGTATTGCCCATTTCTGATATTCTATTATTAATTATTTGGACCTCCTTTTGTAGCTTTTGAATTGTTTCCAATGCTGTATCTATCTTACTCGATTGTTCCTATATTCTTGACTTCTTATTTTTCTCAACTCCACTGTAAAGTGTTTTGATACATTTTATTATCATTTTTCTGAATTCCCTTTCAGGCAATTTCAAAGCCTGCCCTCCTTCCAATATGGAGTGTAGGTCTACCTACACTACCAACATTCATTTGTCTCACACTTTATCTTGTTTCTGGACATGTGCTGATATGGTTGTCTGGTTTGTTTGTTTTTTTCTTGGGCATATTCAGTAATTAGCTGTGGCCTTAATAATTAGATGGGTATGTGTTTTGTATTTTTTAAGCTTTCTGATTGCCTCCAGGTCAATATGATCAGGAAATAGGTTTCCCTTTTCCCTCTTCTTATTACTCAACTCAGAGTAACTTTTGCAAGTGTTGGCTGCCTACCTGGTATATGGCAGTTCATATTGGTTCTTGCCTGGTTTGTATGATAATTTGACTATATGACCGCAATTGCAGTCTCTTCTTGATTAATGTCGAGAGAGAAAGATCCCCCTAAAGGTAAAGAGGGGACCAAAAAACAAAAATAGCAACAGCTAAAAAGACAGATTAGATACTGTAGTCTATAATTACAGAAAAAGAGAAGAAAAAAAAAAATTCTGTAGCAAAATATGAGTTTGACTTTAATGTCCCTTTCTTGGCTTCTTGCCTTCAAGGTTGCCTGAGAAATTTCAAGATGCCACTGTTGGTTGTTATTACATAGCTCAGGATTTAATTTTAGGCCTGTTTTCTTTTTAGTCTGTGTCTCTCCTATACCACTACCCCTGTTCAGGCCTTTTTCCTAGCAATTAACAGTTCAGGGCTGGCTGTGCTGGGTTTGCACTACTGTTTGGTTTTAAGTGGGGCCTTCCCCTTTAAATTCTGCTGAACTGATCTGAGTGTGTGCATAGTAGAACCCTTTGGGGGTGGAGGGAGGTGTCCACTCATTCAAACACTCCCTCTAGTCTTCAGAATGGAGGTGCACAAACAGGGAGAGACCAATGAACAGATACAAAAAAAAAATATATAAAAGAATGGTGACACCTTTATCTCCAAGGATTAGTCAGGCATCAGGCATCCATGGTAGCTCTGAGCCTTCCCCTTTCTGTCTCACCCAAGATGACTGCTCTGTGATCTGCTGAGCCCGGCAGATCCCTGAAACCACTAGATTTCTTATTTCTGCTACAAATTTCACTGTCTATAAGCATTCAAACTTTCTAAATATTCCTTTGTATGTAGTTCAGAGCTCTGGGCCCATCCCCTTAACCTGCTTTGTCTGGTATTCTGCATTATTGCTGATGGAGATCCTCATTGCACTTCTGCCTGATCTGCCATCAAGTCCCGCCTCCTATTTGCAGGGTTTTAGGGCCTGGTGTGGTACTGTATGATTAGTTGTGGACTGTTTACCTCAAGCTTGGTGGTTCAAATCCACCAGCTGCTCCTTGGAAATCCTTTACTGACACGATGGCACTTAACAACAACAGCATGGCCTGGGCTAAGTCATTATTAATGTGGGTCTTACAAAGTAAGGAACTAGTTGGAAATGAATAGAGTGAATGACTTAAAAACTCTGAGTAGGTTAGATATGTTAAGTCTCGGATATTGAAGTAATTCTTGATGAACACGCTATTAGACTTGACGAGTAAGCTGTTTAGTTAGTTCCATGTCTTATGATTCAAAACAAGTATTTCCTGAGCAATTAGTAAAGTTGGTTTATATTTATTTTCATTATTGTTTAATAAGGAATGGAAAATATGACTCAGAATTGTTTAACACAGGATAGATATTATGCTGTTAGTTCTTAATACACACACATATAAACTCTCAGCAAGTTTTGTTGGCTTCATGTCTCCATCCCCACTACTGCTTCAATAGTTTAATCATCCTTTACCTCTTACTTAGACTACCTTAAGAACCTGCAAATTGTTCCTTCTGCTTCTTGTTTTGCTTCTCTGTAATTAATTTTCTATATAGTTGACAAACTAATCACATTGTTTACCTACTTAAAGCCTTCTAAAGATTTCCAATTGCACTCAGAATAAAAAGAAAAACTTCTTGCACTGGACATAGAATGCCCTTGTAAAAACCTGTTGCCCTCTGTGACTGCAGTTTGGCTTGTCCTACTTGGTTCAGCACTGTGTTTTAATCACAGTTGTTGTTAAGTGCCATCAAATTGGTTCTGACACATAGTGATCCAGTATAGGGTTTCTGAGAAGCAGCTGGTGAGCTTGAACCACTGATCTTGCAGTTCAAACCAACTTTGCTCTCCATCAGGTTAATCCACAGCACCACACCAGGATAGTCACATTTAGCTTCTTTCTGTTCCTGCCTTAGGCCCTATGGATTGTTCAGCCAATCTGAAGACTCTGTCTTCAGTCTTGGCATAGTCTCTTTCTTGCAATCGAGAGCTCATTTCAGAGATACTTTCATTAGAAAGACCCTTCTGCATTATCAAAACCAAAGCAGTCTTTTTGTCCCTATCTAACTTTATGTTCTTCATACAATTTACAATTACCTGAAATTACTTTGCTCACTTATTATGTTTGTCTTCTTCCCTGTAGAATGTAAATAGGAAAATTTTCTTTGTTATATGTTATATTCCCCAAATATTGCCGTTTCCATAGTAAAAAATTAAAAATGTTTATTTCATTGTGTTAATGGAGTGTAGGGAAGCATTCACATATTAAGTGTAAACTGGCACAATTTGGTAGTATCATACATTGGACATATTATCAAGAGTCCCTGGAGAAGGACATCATGTTTGGTAAAATGGAGGGTTGGAGAAAAAGAGGAAGACCCTCAACGAGATGATTATTGGCTCAGTGGCAGCAGTAATGGGCTCAAGCATAACTATGATTGTTTGGTTGGCATAGGACCTGGCAGTGTTTTGTTCTGTTGCACGTAGGGTTATTATGAACCAGCAACAACTCAATAGCACCTAAAAACAATATCAAATTAAATCAGAACTGTTTACAATAAAAAAAAGAAACTTTTTATGTGAATTAAGTGAAGGTCTAAAGAGCAGATCACAAATTTTACATTCAATAAGTCATGCACTTTATATCATCTCAATTGCAGTCCCCTCCATGCAAATTAGCTTGTTCTATTTCTTTTGTATTTTTTATTTCCAATCCTCCTTCTTTACTAATTTTTCTGAATTTTGTCCTTGAAGGTTGACCAGTTTATGGTGTGCATACTTCCCTAGTGTTGTTTTGTCTCCCCTATATATTTGTCTATTGCTTGGCTGGAAATTGAGCCATGAGGGTGGGCTCTAGAGCTGACTGTGACCAAGGACCTTATTTTCAGGGTTCCACACGTCTCTATCTGACCAGTAAACCTATTCTTTTTAATGATTTTGAGTTTTGTTTGTCATTTTATCCCGCTCTGTCCATTATCTTCTAATGTGATCCATTCCAGAATAGTTGTCATTGGCCATCTAGTTCTTCTGGTCTTAGGGTCATGTAAACGGATGTTTGTGTGGTCCATTAGGTTATTGGACTATTTGTTTCCAAGCAATTTCAGTTTTCTTTTTCTAACTTCTTTCTTTGTTGTAAATTGAGTTGTAGAGCCAATAGATCATCACTTTTAGTTTCAGCAAATCAAATATTTCATTTCATCTTAATGATTACAATCCCCTCAATGTAACATTACCTATCCTACTTTCTCCCTGGGATTCCTGTTTTCATTCCTTCTTCTTTCCCAATACTTCTTAATTTTGTCCTTAGGTAATACAGCCATTTTGATCTCAAATTGTTGAGATATATGTGCATACCTCACTATATATCTATCTCTTAGTTGACTGAACATTGAACCAAAGTGGTGAGTTCAGTTCCAGAGCTGAAGGGTGAACAAAGGCCATAGTCTTAGAATCCCATGAGCCATTATCTGACCAGTAAGCTTGGTCAGATTTTTTTTTCCCAGGAAGGGATAGAAACATGTTTATTTGAGGCCTAGAGGAAGACGGGGCTTGAGTGTGGTGGGGATGGAGTGGGCACCTCGGGGCAGGTACATGTGTGGGTGGAAACAGATTCCTAGTCTGGAGAGCAGTGTGCATCCTTACCCTCCACTAGATGTGAATGAAAAGTGACTGGGTGAAAATGCTAGAGAAAACTTGAATGGTGGAGTTTCTCAAGCCCAGCTGAAGGCTCCCCTCATTCCTGCACAAGGGGTACACATACACCTATACACACACTTGAGTACCTGGTAAACCTCATAATAAACATGCTCACCCTCCCACACCAGCCTGACAAGTGCACGTGCATACCCAGATCCCACATCAGACTCATCCAGCTGGGGGTGGATAGTGCCTGGATGTTAGGTGCCCCTTCAAGCTTGTCTGAGGGATTGAGCCCAGATCCCAGGTCCCCCAGGCTCCAGGGGGACCCACATCTCTTCCTAAAGCCTTGAGTAAGTCCACATTATTTCTCTAGAAGTGAGGGGCAAATGGTTTCATGGGAGGTAGGTGAGAGGGTGTGGCCTGAGGCAGAGGTGGAAAGTGAGATGATACAGGTAAGAGTCAGAGGAGACTTGGAAATGTCACCAGGATCCGGCTGTCCTTTCTGAAAGGAGGCAGGGTAGTGTGGCTGGGGACCAGGGCCCAGAGGTTAGGGACTGGGCTTCAGCAATTCTGCCAGCAGGCTAAGTAGGAGCCCAAGGCCAAGCACAGTGGCACTGACCCAAGACCCACTGCTGGCTGCACTCATGTTACACAGGAATCCTTGGCAGCAGTGGGAACCCGCTGACACCATACCCAGGTCAATGCTCAGGCCAACGCAGATGGGAGAGCAGCCTTTGCTCAAGGTCTGGCCACAGTTCACCATATTCTCAATGCCAACTGAAGCAGATGGTTGGTTTCAGGCAGTATAAATTGTTCTTTTGTCCACACATGAGAAACACATCAGGGTGTGGGCTCGCTTAATATGCAAGATGGCAGCCAGCAGAATCACAAGAAGACCTTCATTCTGGAGGGACTAGAAGCTAGGAAGCCTGCCCACCTGTGTCTGAGCCTCGTGCATTGGTGCTGCCACTCTGAGCACTTCCCCAACCTCACAAGCTTTCTGGCATAGGGGTGGGCCATCTATCTATCTTTCGATCGATCGATCGATCGATCTATCTATCTATCTACCTATCTATCTATCTATATGGAGCTCTGGTAGTGTAGTGGTTATGAATTGAGCTGCTAACCTCAGGGTCAGCAGTTCAAAACTACCAGCTGTTCCACGGGAGAAAGATGAGGGTTTCTGCTCCCATAAAGATTTACAGCCACAGAAACCCTGTATAGGGTCACTATGAGTTGGAACCAGTTCCATGCTATATAACAACAACAAATATATATATATATATTAATGATTTTGAATTTTGTTCCACATTTTCTTACTTTTTTCAGAAATTTCTAATGTGATCCCTTTCAGGGCAGTTGGTAGTGGTAGATGGGAATCATAGGGTTATGGTCTCAGGGTCGTGGAGACTGGTGTTCATGTGGTCCCTTAATCTATTGAACTAATTGTTTCTAAGCATCTTCTTTCCTCTGGGTAGTAGAAACCAATAGTTACACCTTAGATGGCCTCTCGTGGGCTTTTAAGATCTTGGTTGCTAACTCATCATTGTAGGACATAGAACATTGGCTTTGTGGACTATATTATGTCAGTTGGCCTAGGTGCCTCCTATGCCCTCAAGCTGAGGAACTCATTCCCTCAAGATGTTTAGTAATATCATAACTTTACTTTCTGTATGCTCCACCACATTTATGTACATGTTTGCAGCAAATAACTGCTGTCAAACCTTTATATATCTGTCATTATATACCCACTCTCCCTCCCACATCCATTCAGCCTTCGTGTATATCCATGCTTATCTATTCATCGATGACTCTTATTACAGGATTGTGTTACCTTCAATACTTTTGCTTCTTGTCTTCTTATGCCTTCATCAATCTTCTGTCAACCTCATTCTTACTGTACATTATCTTTCTGTCACCAAAGGTAATGTATGTCAATCCTCAATCCTCTAGCCAGTGACTTACTCCTCCTTTCTGCCCCCCCCCCGCCCAGAATTCTGATGTGGCACTGTAGGATAAGCACTGGACTGCTAACTGTAAAGTTGGTGATTCAAACCTACCAGCTGCTCCTTGGAAACCCTATAAAGGGTCACTATGATTCAGAACCAACTTGACAGCACATAACAAAAATAAAAAACCCTTCCAAACCTGACGACTATCAAACAATGTTTCTTTTAGTTTGAAAACCTTTTCTTACTTTTTTACAATCATGGTCTCATATAATAGTTGTCCTTTTGTAATTGACTAATTTTACTCTTAGGCATTAATGAGCTGAAATGGATTGGTATTGACCATTTTCAATCTGACAGTCATATGGTATACTATGCCAGGAATGACAAATTCAAGAGGAATGGTGTCACATTCATTGTCAAAAAGAATATTTAAAGATCTGTCTTGAAGTATAATGCTGTCTGTGACGGGATAATATCCATATGTATACATGAAGAACAGTTAATGCCATTATTATTGAAACTTAATCATTAACCACTAAAGCCAGTGATGATGAAATAGAAGAATTTACCAACTTCAGTCTGAAATTGATCCAACTTGCAATAAAGATGCACTGATAATTACTGGTGATTAGAATGTGACAGTTGGAAACAAAGAGATAGAATCAGTAGTTAGAAAATATGGCCTTGGTGATAGAAATGATGCTGGAGAGCACATTATAGAATTTTGTAACATCAATGATTTATTCATTATAAATACCTTTTTAAACAATGTGAAAGGTGACTTTTTATAGGAATACAATGGATTACATCTGTGGAAAGAGAGGGTGAAAATCTGACTATTATCAACCAAAATAAGATCAGGGCCAACTACAGAACAGATCATCAATTGCTCGTGTGCAAATTCAGCCTGAAGCTGGAAAGAATTAAAACACATTCACAGGAGCCAAAATATGACCTTAAATATACTCCACCTGAATTTAGACACTATTTTAAGGACAGATTTGATTAATTAGTCACTAATGACCAAAAATGAGAAGAGTTGTGTACAATATTAAGAACACCCATAAACAAAGAAAGCAAAGGGTCATTAAAAAGACAGGAAAGAAAGAAAAGATCAAAATGGATGTTAGAAGCAACTATGAAAATTGCTTTCGAGTGTAAAGAAGCTAAAACAATAGACAGCCATGAGAAGGTAAAACAGCGGAGCTTAAAAGTTCAAAGGGCAGCTCTAAAACACAAAGCCAAGTTTTATAATAAAATGTGCAAAAACCAGAAGTTAGAAAACCAGAAGGGAAGAATATGCTCAGCATTTCTCAAGCTAAAATAGTTGCAGAAAAAAATTTAAGCTTCATGTTGTAATACTGATGGATTCTGTAGTCAAAATATTGAATGATGCTGGAAACATCAAAAGAAGATGAAAGGGATACACAAAGTCATTGTATCAAAAGAACTGATTGATGTTCAATCATTTGAAAAAGGTAGCATCCAATCAAGAATCAATGATAAGAAAGGAAGAAATCCAAGTTGCACTGGAAGGCATTGGCAAGATGCAAGGCTCCAGGAATTGACAGAATATAAATGGAAATCTTTCAACAAACTTATGCACCATTGGAGGTGTTTACTCATCTATGAAAAGAAATTTGAAAGATAACTACATAGCCAACCTATTGGAAGATATCAATATTTGTGCCTATTTCAAAGACAGGTAACCAAAAAAGAATGGGAAATCATCAAACAATATCATTAATATCACATGCAAGTAAAATTTTACTGAAGATAATTTAAAAAGAGTTGTAGCAGTACATTGTCAGAAAACTGCCAGAAATTCAAGCCAGATTCCGAAGGGCATGTGGAACAAGGGATGTCATTGCTGAAGTCAGATGGATATTGGCTGAATGCATGGAATACCAGAAAGATGTTTACTTGTGCTTTATTGACTATGGGAAGGCTTTCAACTGTGTGAATAATGACAAGCTATGGATAACTGGGTGAAGTATAGATATTTCAGAATACTAGATTGTGCTCATGAGGAACCTATACCTAGATCAAAAGGCAGTCTTTAGAACAGAACAAGGTGATAACAAAAAGTTTAAAATCAGAAAAAGTATGAGACAGTTTTACATCCTTTCACCATACTTATTCAATATGTATGCTGAATAAATAATCCAAGAGCCTGTATTATTATATGAAGAACAATGTGGCATAAAGATTGGAGGAAGACTCATTAACAACCTGCACTATGCAGATGATACAAACTTGCTTGTTGGATGCTAAGAGGATTTAAAATTTTTATGCATGAAGATCCATATGGATTGCACTTCAATGCAAAGAAAACAAAAATACTCACAATTTGATCAATAAATGGACATCCTGATAATAGAGATAAGATTGAAGTTGCCAAAGACTTTATTTTGCTTGGATCCATAATCAACACTCATGTAAGCAGCATTCAGAGATCAGATGACATATTGCATTAGGCAAATATGAGAAACAAGCCATCTTTAAAGTGTTAAAGAGCTGTTGAGGACCACAAGTACTGAGATGCTGAGGACCCGTGTCATGGATGAAAATCCAACAGGATGGCCGTTCTCAGGCTTGTTAGCCAGGGACCCTGAGGGCCCAAGGAAGTAACCTCTGGACGTCCTGGGTTCATTGGCTTTTACAAACTCACTGTTGGCCTAGCTCAGTATAATTTTCTTTAGTCCTATTAATTCATTCTATGCTTCAAACTCCAGTAATTGTAGCTTCTGAGAAAATGGTTTTTATAATGCCTCTCTTAATGTCTCCACTGTGTTGGCAGTGCGTAGGGTCCTGGGAACGAATCTTTCTGAGGTACAAGCGATAGCCACCCGGGATAAGTGTCAGAAAGAACTGCTCCTTATTTGATTATTCAGTTATGCTTAATATTAATTTAGAACATGAGCTCTTGATATCCATGTAAAACTGAATTTCCCCCTAGAACCGAGGCAGTAAAACTTCCTCAGAGGACGAACAAGGACAGGTTTACTGGGATTAAGCAGGGAGGTTCTGGAGAGGAACTGCCCGGGGTATTCACTTGAGGTGGAGTAGTAAATTCTGGGAATATTGGATTAAGAGACAATGGTGGTAGCCCCTTCAAACTGCCCCCAGGTATAATCAGTTTGACCTATATGTTCTCCTTCCTCCTGAAAGTTTAAGCCAGGTATCTGAAACAGCTTGACTTTCTTCAGACCTTTTGAAATCCTTTTCACCTTTACCCATTGAAGATTAGGTGCTATAGGTATGTTAATTAGCTTTGAGAAACCTTGAGCTGCTGCCTTGGGATTTGAACCTAAAAAGTAATTTATAACAATTTGCTTGAATTTCTGGAAAATTAAGGATGTTAGATTATCAAGACAATTTGTGATGTATGAATTTGTTCCTGTAAATCATTGTGTCCTGTTTTGATCGATTAATCACATTTCATTTCTGTACCCTGTCTTAATAATCCCCTTCTTCCTTTGTGTAAAGTCCCTCCCTGAAATAAAAGACGGACACAGACTGAAGCCCGCATGCATTACTGCTTGCAGGGCCATGGAGGGTCTGTCTGCCAGTTTTGCTTCCACTCTGGTCTCCGAGTGTTTCTTTTAATGTCTGTCTGGCAGCTTGCATCAAACCTCTGTTTTCTCTGTCTTCTTTGTGTCTGTTTTCTCTCTCTCTCTCTCTCTCTCTCTCTCTCTCTCTCGTCTCCAGACACCTCACCTTCGTGTACTCACCCCCTTGTCGAGGCCAGACCCCGGCAAAGAGCAAAGATACCAGTTTGAGGACTAAGGTGTGCATGATCCAAGCCATGGTATTTTCACTCACCTCATATGCTGATGAAAGTTGAACAATGAATAAGGAGGGCTGGAGAAGAATCGGTGCATTTAAATTATGGTATTAGAGAAAAATTAGTGCCATCGAGTTGATTCTGTCCCATAGCAACCC